AAGTAATCAGTCTATTCCCAGTATGTCTATCAGTGCCTGCAGCTAAAGCAGCAGTGTTAACAGTCTTCCAGATACCTCGGATGACAAGAGTGAGCTTGACATGATGGAGGGAGACCATACAGTGATGTCTAATAGTTCTGTCATCAACGTAAAACCTGAGGAGGAAAATTATAGAGAAGAAGGAGATCCTAGCAGATCCACAGTCTCCACCTTAAGTGTACCGTCACAAATAAGAACCATATGAACGGCATCACTGGTCTGATTATTTTTGCAACTTTGTAGATTCTTGCCTCCAGAAAATCCCTCAAGATCGAAAGATGAAGAAACTTCTTTTCCAGGAGGCACATAATGGACCAGCGGTAGAAGCACAGGAAGAAGAGGAGGAGCAAGATAATGGTGTTGGCCAAACAGGAATTGGCTTAGGGAAGGCAGACAGTATTCCCCATCTCTGCTCCGCCCGAATCCGGATTGTCACCGCCATCGTCATCAGGAACAGCAGTGGCATCATCTTCGACCGGATCAGCAGTATCAGCATCCTGAAGAGCGGCGTGGTCATTTTCATGATGGACTTCAACAGTTCTGTTCAGGCGGCTTGGGACCCAATGAGGCACTTCTCGATCCTGGGGAAAAACACAAATAGCTCCCCTGGATCTCCGGATAACGGGGTCCGGGCCATACCATTTATTATCCAACACATCCTTCCACATCACTTTCCCTGCCCCTTTCTGGGAGGTGTGGGTGTGTCGGTCAGCTGCCGTATGATCTTTGTCATCCATTATCAAAAAATTAAGAGTAAGAAGGGCCATAGCAATCCTATTCCTGGGGGAGGCAGTCTCAGCCATTCCCCCTCTTTGTTTTTGTAAGAGCTCCTTGAGGCTGCGATTGGCTCTTTCCACTATCCCCTGGCCTTGGGGGTTGTAGGGCAGACCAAAAGTGTGCTCAACCTGGTGTTGTGCACAAAAGGCATGAAAACCCTCGGAAGAGTAGGCAGGGCCATTGTCTGTCTTTAAATGGACAGGTTTTCCCCATGCCGCCCAGGCCTCCAAGCAATGGGTCTTCCTATGAATAGATTTTTTCCCCTGCCAAGGGGGTGGCAAAAATGACACCAGAGTAGGTGTCCATTGAGACATGAAGGTACTTGATGCGGCCAAACTCCATAACATGAGTAATATCCATTTGCCATAAGGCGTTTGGTCGTAGACCCCGGGGGTTGATGCCGAAATGAGGAGGATGGAGAAAGGTGACGCAAGAAGAACAAGCTTTTACAATACTTCTAGCATCATTTCTGGTCAGGGCAAATTTCCTCCGTAGGGTGTCAGTGGGGAGCACTGGTCTGTCATCTAGGGCTATGGATAAGCAAGCCAGATCGACCCCTGTGGAGCCTAAGCCTTCTTCTCCTCTAATCTTTTCCCTGAAGGGGAACCTCTCATGAGACAGGGCAGAAGCAAAAGCTGAGCAATGCTATCTCCAGGAGTGATTGAAATAACCCCTGACAGGGAGTGACAAAGGAGCTTAATTTTTCCAGTATAGTCCGGGTCGATTACTCCCGGCAGAATCATAAGTCCTTTCATTGTTGATGAAGAGCGGCCCAAAACAATCCCTCCCTGGCCTTCTGGCAATGGACCCGACATATATGATGTCAAGATCTGCACTCCCATCTCTGGTGTTAATACCATTCCGGAGGTGGCACAGATGTCCAGCCCTGCGGAGCCGCTGGTTGCCCGCCAGACAACTGGGCTGGCCCCATTGGAATTTGTGATACTGTAGGGGTCTGAAGAGCCCCAAATATTTTTGGGCCCTGGGGAC